CGAATCTTAGTGCACTTTTACCAGGCTTATGAGGCTTCAACCTATCTTCCTGGGGCCTTTCGGGTTTGGGCTTTAGGGTTTAGGGGTTTAGGTTTAGGGTCTAGGGTTTAGGATCTAGGGTTTAGGATTTAGGGCTTAGGGTCTAAACCCTTCCGTTTGGCACACCCTAAACTCGTAGGTAAATGTAAATCGGAAGAGGCCCGTCACTGAATTCCACACTTTTCTCCGGTCACTGGCAGGGGCTCTATAAGAGGGGTCTTATAGGGCACAGGGTTTAGCATTTAGGGAGGGGTTTTATAAGAAGGGTCTAATGGGGTTTTAGTATAGGAGCCTCATAAATCTGAAATAGAGGACTTAGGATGTATATTCTAGTGTAGTCATAAAGACTGTGCGAACATGAATTTGGGTTGAGGGTTTAGGGTTTAGGGTTCAGGGTTTAGGGTTTAGGGTTTACGTTTTAGGGTTGAGGGTTTAGGGTTTAGGGTTTAGGGATTAGGGTCTAGGGTTTAGGGTTTAGGGGTTTAGGGCTTGAGGGTTGAGGTCTGCCGAAAACACCTGAACCCTAAACCCTAAACCCTAAACCCCTAAAACCCTAAATAGACCCCCAGGATGGAAAATGGAGAACCCCGACTTTGGAAGACCATAAATACTACCAAAGAGTACTTTAAAGGAACCTCTCTTGTAAGAAGTCTAGTTTTCGGATCTTCCTCAAGACCCAGAAAACCCTAAACCCTAAAACCCTAAACCCTAAAGCCTAAAACCCTAAACCCTAAACCCTAAACCCTAAATAACCCTAGACCCTAAACCCTAAAACCCTAAACCCTAAACCCAGTGGTCTGGGTTTCAGACCCAGACGAACCCCGAAAATCTGAGACCCCCCGCAGCTCTGGCACACCCTGGTGGGCCACACATTGGTCGCTTGTGAGAGCGGCACCTGGGTTTAGGGTTTAGGGTTAAACCCTAAAGACTAAACCTGCGAACTCGAGATCTTCAAACAGGATTCTTTGTTTGACACCCCTCGGGGCTCTAGGGTTGTAGAAGTAGGGTATTAGAGATGTTTGGTCCCGGCTTTTAAACAGGGTTGCTTATAGTTTCTGTAGGGTTCTATGGAGTTGCTGTAGGGGTTGTATAATAGGGGTTCTAGAGGTCTGAGGATTGAAGGAATGAGGGTTCAAGGCAACCCTAACTTAGGGGCTGAGTACCCCAGCCCAAAAAAGGTGACCTTTCAATTTATGGTAGGATCATATAAACCCCAAAAGGTTAAAAAGTGACCTACTCAGCTACTACACCCATAGTAAGCCCCAAAACCTAAACCCTAAATCCTAATGGGGTTTATGGCTCCTTACCCCCAGACCATTCTCTCCACTACGGTCTTCCCCTTATTTGAGGTAGATACCTTACATTATGAGGGGCTTAATGTTATGGTTTGCGCTGTGTTACTATTGGGCTCTTTGCCTTAAGGACGAAAAGAACCTTCAAAGTAGGGGCCCTGTTCCCTTATACTAAGAATCCCTATATGGTATATGAACCTTAAGCCCTTTTAGGGCTCTTTTCGTCCTTCAGGTGGGTATGTAGTTTCAGGAATTACCGTCTGGCGGCCGCACCAGAGCTCGAAATCCGTCTATGCCCCGTCCAATGATGCTTGTTGTCCTGCGGTTTAGATTCTAAGGCGTAAGGCTCTTATGCGTAGTTACTACTTGGAGGGTCGGGGGACTTAGTAAGTAGGTAATAAGTAGAGCTATAAGTACCCTGAAAGGGATCTTAAGTGGGGTTATGATACTTATAAGTCTATAAAAAAACTACTAACTAAGTCCCCCGACCCTCCAAGTATGAAATAGTGTGAGGCTTCCTCGCTTCCTGCTCCTGTCGTATCTCTCCTTTCCGGAGTTCTAGACCCTTACCTTAAGGACGAAAACAACCTTAAAAGTAGGGGCCCTTTTCCCTTAGACTATGGCCCTACATGGTATATGAACCTTAAGCCCTTTTAGGGCTCTTTTCGTCCTTAAGGTACACCTTAAACTACCAGCAAACCGCATTCAAACGGCTTCGAAGGTCCTTGATCACGATCCATAGACGTCGCGGCACTGAGAAGAACCCCTTCGTGAAGTTCACCGTCTAAACCTTGTGCTAAGAACCGCTAGAACCAAGAAACCACAAGTTGAGCCAGAGCTTCGTCCTACGCAGACCCTAAGGCGTAAACCCCAAGGGCTAACGCCCCCCTAAACCCGAAACCCTAAACCTTCAACCCTAAACCCTACACTTTGGACCCTAACCCTAAACCCTAAACCCTAAACCCCCTAAGCCCTAAACCCTAAACCCCAAAGCCCTAAACCCCCGTAACCCCAAGCTCCTAAACTCTGAACTCTGAACCCTTGCGCCCACTCCAGGCTGGCACAGGTCTGGTTGTCTCGGTGCAGAAGAAACCTCCAGAAAATACAGGGTTTAGGGTTTAGGGTTTAGGGTCTAGGGAGGGTTTAAGAGTTTAGGGTTCAGGGTTTAGGGTTGAGGGTTGAGCGTTAAAGTGTCTTTTGGCTTGAGGGTTTTCGGAGGCTTAGGTTTTAACAAGTTGAGGTAGGAGGATCTTTCAGCAAAGCACTAGGATAGGAGTCTTAATCCCGAAGCCCCAAAACCCTGTCCATCTTGGGTTGACATCCCCTAAATGCTAAACCCTAAACCCACCCTAAACCGTGAACCCTTAAACCCCCTTTGGAGGTTTCTGGACGACTCAGGATGCAGCGGCGGATTGTTCTGGTGGAGGGCCGGGCGGAGTTTAGCGAGGGAGGGTCTAGGGTTTAGGGTGTAGGCCTTAAGGACGAAAAAAACCTTGAAAGTAGGGGCCCTTTTCCCTTATACTATGATTCCCTATATGGTATATGAACTTTAACCCCTTTTAGGGCTCTTTTCGTCCTTAAGGGGGTGTTAGAGTTTTGGGGTTTAGGGTTTAGTCCAGGTCCAGTGTCAGGCGAGAGTGGCGGTTTGAGCTGCGCAGCTTGTTCCTACTCGCCGACAGCTTCTGTATAGCCCAGCCATGCATCAGCTTTCGTCGTCGAAAGGCACGTCAGTAGACAAACAGAACCAGCGCCGAGGAGTCACACTCCTAATTAGCGTTTCCAGTGTCCAGGTTGACATAGACAGACAAACAGCTGAGTTCAGCTGGTGGGAATTTGCAGGAGGTGCTTCAGCGTCTTCAGCGCAGTGATGCATGACAGCACGACAGAGGCCTCCGTCCCGACGGCAGGCTGTACAGTAGTGGCCACGATGACCCTTACGTGAGGTCACGCTAACGGGCCTGCTGCAAAGAAAGCCACAGGAAGCTCTGCAGCCCGTGGCGCAGTAGCCGGTCAAGGTGTGGCCCTGGAACGGCATCCGACGTCGCCAGCTCCGCGGCAAAGTCGGGCACGTGCATCAAGCTCAAGGACTTCGGGTAGAGGGACCACATGGCATATGGCGATAAGGGTTTTGGGTTTAGGGTTTAGGGTTTAGGGTAAGAAGAGCGACTCTGTATTTCTGTCCCACCACGACTGCGTGACGGCACACCCAACTGGTCACTGGTTGTGGTTGGACTATCATCATAAGCCCAACTACAGCCTGGCTTAGGATTCGCAGGGATTTCGGATGTTGCAAATGTCGAGCTTGGGGGCTTTCGGGGTTTAGGGTTCACTTTTCTCATCGGGCTTGTGATCGTAGCCGAAATGATTAGGCATGGCATCTCCCGAGAGGCTTTGGTGGGTGTTATAGGCAATTAAGTTAGGAAGATCTGAATCGAATTACTAACCCCTAAATCCCGAGCCTTACTTGCACGGTCGGGGGACTTAGTAACTAGCTTTTTTTGATAGACTTACAAGATCTTACAAGTACTTTAACCCCACTTAGGATCCCTTTTAGGGTACTTACAAGTCTACTGAATATCCACTTACTGAGTCCCCTGACCCTCCAAGTAAACCCTAAACCCCGAGCCCTAAACCCTCTAATCATTCCGATTTCGCAAGCCCTAAACCCTAAACCCTAAACCCCAAACCCTATTTCGGAACTGTGGAGCCGACGAACCAAAGCCACAACCCAGGGGGGGGGGGTGGGCTTTGAATGTTGGCTTCTGAAAACTTCGAGGTACTTTTTAGGGTTTAGGGTTTAGGGTTTTGACATCCCTAAAGGGAGCCGTAACGAAATCCTTAGAGGAGCTCTTAACCGAATCCTTGCACTTAATGATTTGAAGGAACCCTTAAAGACATCCATAAAGAAGCCTTAAAGTGGCTTTTACCGGGTTTCTGTACCCTTGAGGGTCCCTAGAAAGCCCTAAGGGTCCATATTAGGGGCCCATATTTCTAACCTTAGACTTAGGGTTTAAGGCTTCAGAGCTTTAGGACTTTAGGGTTGAAGGTCCTGGATTTTCAGGGTTTAGGGTTTCAGGATTTAGGATTTAGGGTTTAGGGTTGAATTGTAAATGGTAAGACCCTCAAAGCCCCTGGGCGCGGTGCGTGAGGTTTGTCTGCACATCTGGAAGGTCGCGACCTTCAACCAGAGTCTGCAGATTTTAACGTTTTAGGGTTCAGGGTTTCGGGTTTAGGGTTTAGGGTCTACTTGGAGGGTCGGGGGACTTAGTAACTAGTTAGTTTTATAGACTTACAAGTACCATAACCCCAATTAGGATCCTTTTTTGGGTACTTATAACTCTACTTAATATCTACTTACCAAGTCACCCGACTATCCAAGCACGGTCTAGGGTTTAGGGTTAGTGCGTTGGGGGTTCGAAGTTTCGACTTGTTTAGGGGTGAAGGGTTTCCGGTTTTGGGGTTTAAGGGTTTAGGGCTTCGGGCTTCGAACTTTAAACTTTGAGGGTATTTTTGGCTTTGAGTCAAGGGGCTTAGGGCTTCGAAAGTTTAGACTTTTGGGGTTTTGGGCAAAGAGGGTAGGGTTTAGGGCTTCGAAATTTAGCGTTTTAGGGTTTAGTTAGGGCTTTGTGTTGAAGGGTTTAATGTGTAAGACAAGGTTTAGGGCTGAGATAAACCGACGATAGGCATACTATGAGGGACAAGGGTTTAGGGTTTAGGGGTTTAGGGTTTAGGGTTGAAGGACACAGGATATCCCTAGCTTATTATTGGGCTTCATTGTAAAGGAACTTCTATGGGATTCCCTTTCTGAAGTGTTGCTGCTTATGTGCTTGTTTGGGGCCCTGACCATATGTTTCAAGTTTTAGGCTGTAGGAGTGGCTTTAGGGCTTCGAGAACTGCGGAGGTTTAGCGGCCAGCATTTCCGAATTAATTTGAAGGTTTGGGCCCAAGGGCTGAGTGCCGATAATACTCACACCTGATCCGATAAGTCATGATAATGTAGGGTCTTTCGCCGGGCCGAGGCTGACGACGCGAAGCGTTTATTAATTACACTATAATCATAATCAGGATCCCCCAAAATAGTATTGGTAATTATTTAGGCACTTACATTAATGATAATCCTTGTCATCATCTTCGTCATCACCAAGCGACCAGTCCGGCTGGCTTTGGTTTTTGCTCTTTGCTTTGGGTTCCGCTTGCCTTTTGAAGCTCGAGCTGATTCCTCAAAGTTTAAGGTTTATTGTTTAGGATTTAGGGATGTTTATAGGGTTTATAGGGTTTAGTGATGTTTGGGGTGTTTCTGTCTGCGCAAGCCCACTTCGATTGCCAGGCTAAACCCTAAACCCTACGAAGACCCGGCTAGCTTCAGGTTTCGCCCCTGTCCCTACGAGGTTCGGGATACTACCCACCTGACATTAGCATTGATCCCAATATAGCTCCCCCGCTTTGAAAAGGATAAGCCTCAACTGCTCTTTCAAGCCAATAAAGCCCTACACCCTAAGCCCTATACCCAACACCGTAAACCTCGAAACCCAAACCCCTCAACCTTAAACTTAGAACCTAAACTACTTCCAACAAGCATGCACAAGCCTGAAACCGCGGCTAGATTCTTCGAATCTTTTTCAGACGTGGACAGCTTTCCGCAAAGAGCCGAATACCCCTTACAAAGGAAAATGCCTGAAACTGTAAGGGGCTTCACCTTCAGGTTTAAGCTTCGTTCCTTAATTGAGGTATTGGGGTATTGGGCTCTCCGTGTCTCTATTTCCTGAACCTCCTCGAGAATCCGACGCCCTGAAGGCTCTTTTCGTCCTTAAGGAACATGTCGTTCCAAAAACGCATTGCTTTCTTGTAGGCACTTTCCAGTGCACTCGGGCATTTCTCCTCAACTGTGGCTTCCCTTGTCCTCCCGCACACTGGGTATGGTCCATCGGAGATGTGGCGAAAATCTGTGCAATTGAAATCATCCCTGCATTCCAGACAGTGGTAGATGAGGTCAGATGCCGCACCGAGCGGTGGTTTCCTGACTTGCCGAAGTTGGAGGAGCAGGCGCGCGCCCATGCTCTGCAAGAAGTACTGAACATCTGTGCGCGACAAGCGCGATCCGCCCTGCAGGGCCGCACAGCTCCGTGTCGTGATCTGCATGCGGAGGCGACATCAGCTTCCGCTTAGCTGCATGCACCATACAGCGCTGCGAGTCCACCAACCGCCACGAGAACTTCTGCCGCAAAGCCCTCACTGTCAGCTGGCCTTGCAAATGCGGGAAGCGCAGCCCTCCTCTGCAGCATGCTTCTGACTGCCGCGCCGGGTTCCGTTGCACCTCCAATGTGGGTGCACATTGCAGCCAGCTCACTCGCGTCGCGCTCCAGCCGCCGCTTTCGGCGCGCCGCTGTGCGCAGCCTGTTCTTGCCTGCCCACGTGTGCCGGCACCGCGATCCATTGCAGCGCTCTGAACCCGCAGCGGACGGGTCGGGGGACTTAGTCACTAGTTATTTTATTTTTATAGACTTACAAGTACCATAACCCCGATTAGGATCTTTTTTGGATACTTATAGCTCTACCTAATATCTTTTTGCTAAGTCCCCTGACCCTCCAAGTAGGGTTCATATACCATATGGATTCGTAGTATGATTGTATAGGGCCCCTGCGTTTAAGGGTCATGTCGTCCTGAAGGTTTGCAGGACGAGAGGATGCGTCCCAACATGATCCGGCATGCTGTAGTCAGCAGCTGGATTTTTCTTGATATAGGGGCCTTGATAATTAGAATAATGTTTTGGGGCCCATTATACTATAATTATAAGAAGGAGCCACCAAAATGGTATAGGTAATTATTTAAGCCCCTATAGCCCCTACAATAACCCTGAAGGTTGGGATTAAGCGTGTTTCAGAGGGCATTGCGACGTCCAGGGTTGTTGGAGTTTAGGGTTTAGGGTTTTGGGTTTAGGGGTTTCTGGCACGGCGGTTCATGGAACCCCAAAACCTAAACCCTAATTTAGGACTTATTAGGATCTTTGGAGCATGTTTGCCGAGAAGCAAGTGCCGTCGAACCGGAGCCCCTTGCCCACCAGCATCAGTTGTGCTAGGACCTGGGAGACACACCCTAAACCCTAAACATCCCGCAAAAATCCTCAAAAACCCCAAACATCCCTAAACCCTAAACCCCAAACATCCCCAAAAAATCCACAAAACTCTAAACATGCCTAAACCTAAAACCCGAAACCTTAACCGTGGGTTTAGGGGTTCCAAATCAAGGGGCCACAGGCTCCCAAAGCTTCCAAAATCCCTGAAATAAGGAACATACCTGTGGGGTTCAGGGTTTAGGGTTCAGGGTTTAGGGTTCCCTAGTATGAGTTGAGGAACATACGTGTTAACCTGAAATTGAAACTCAGTAGGATCCCTCATTTTGATTTGAGGTTCATTCCGTAACTGTGGGATTTTGGAAGGGCCGGGGGTTCAGGGTTAAAGTCCCCAGCCTCTGAACCTCATGGGTTCGACGGCCAGGGCTTAGGGTTTAGGGTTCTGCGTTCGGAACCCAGCAAACCGTGAACCCAAAGGATCGAAGCTTCGAAGGGGTACCTGGTTAAAGTCCGAAAGCCCTAAACCTTAACAGGTTTAGGTTGAGGGGATTAAATGCTTTGATCTTAAACCATAAACCCTAAACCGCTT